AACAGCAGAGAGCAGGTGTATCTGCAGATGAACAGCTTGAAGCCTGAGGACTCTGCTGTTTATTATTGTGCTCGATACACAGTGACACAAGAAGCTGAAACACTGAACAAAAACCCAACATGTCAAGTCAGACTAACTACCTGCCTTTGCTTTTTATCAATGCCAACAACACAAAACACCAAGAACAAATATACTTGTTTAAATATTAAGAATACTTTATGACAAATGTATGATGAAAGGGCAATTAATTCTTCCAAATGCAAATTATGCAGTTTTTATTAAATAATTTTGACAAAACCACTGTGAGAAAAATAATAAAGTTAATAATAAAATCAAGGAACTTTATGTCATTTTCAATTGAAATAAGATGGATTAATTGACCCTCCCTCTGTGTGATGCAAGTCTGTGTTCAGTCCAGAGTACTTCTGTCCTGCTGGCTGATCTTCTTCATGTGGACCATCAGAAGTCTCACCTCCAGCTTCAGGATGATGAACACACTCAGTCTTCTGCTGCTCTCTCTCTCTGACCTGTACGCTCTTTACTTTCTTTGCATTAAAGCTCTTGCTTTACACATCTGTCATTCTTAGAAAAAAAAAGTGACATGATTTTTTTCACGTCTTCTGTGTTTTTTGCTTCTTTCTCCGTGTTATGTTGCTCAGTTTGGAGTCCATTCCTGCCAGTCCAGTGGTGAGAATGTCTAGGGACACTGAGTCTGTTCTGTAGAAGAAGCCTTAGTTCGCCAGTTCAACTCCCTGGAATGACAACTACAAAATTTGTATGTGAAACATCTACACCTGCCTCCGCCCTGATTTTCCCCACTCTGGGCCCTTGAGCAAGGCCCTTAACTCCCACCATCTTCTCCCCCACCACCATAGATGGCAGCTCTCTGCTCCACAACGAGGCTGTGGTAGCTCGGTGGTCTGTGGTTGTGTCAGGAAGGGCATCGGGCGTAGAAACTAATTCCTAACTTTGTGCGAGTTAGTTCACTGAAGAAGGGAGCAGCCTAAAAAAATAAACAAATACATACAATAATAATTATATATATATATATATATATATATATATATATATATATATATATATATACTAACATGCTCAGGTTGGAGTGGAGTCTATTCAGTTCTATGTTGTTGATTGGTCAGAAATTATTGATTGAGTTGCATCAATTATGGACTACATTAGAATAAAAAAAAATTCTAACATGATAATTTTTGAAACTGTGCTGAAATTTGTATTGATGACATAAATGTCACTTTTGACTAAAATGTTAGTTTTTCTCTATAAGAGGCACCATCTTTATGCAAATCAAACTCCCTCACAGTGAATATAACCTCTTGATGTCATGCTGATGGGTTTAACAAAAAGGAGAAGCTTCCATCAGATCCTCTTCATCACTATCATGTTGTCTGTAGCTGTGCTGCTGCTGCTGCTGGCTGCTGGATCCAATGAGTCACTGAGACACTGACAGAATGATCCAACCACACTGACTCTTTACTGGTATGATTGATTTATGTTTAATGTTTTCCTCCTCAGGTGTAAAGTGTGAACAGCTGACTCAGACAGCCTCTATAACTCTGCAGCCAGGTCAACGTCTGACCATCAGCTGTCAGGTCTCTTATTCTCTGAGCGGCTACTACACAGCTTGGATCAGACAGCCTGCAGGGAAAGGACTGGAGTGGATCGGGATGAAACACACCAGAGCTTCATATTACAAAGATTCACTGAAGAACAAGTTCAGTATTGACTTGGTCACTTCCAGTTCAACAGTGACTCTGAATGGACAGAACATGCAGCCTGAAGACTCTGCTGTGTATTTCTGTGCAAGATACCCACAGAGACACAAACCATCTGCAGACCTGCACAAAAACCCCTCAGAGCCCAAAGACTAGTAACATGAAGTGAACAAGGGGGAGCCCTCACACCACAAATGATAAAACTAAAACACTGACACTGAGCTGATCATTTGGTTCATTAAATACTAATATATAAACCAATATGTACATGGTCCTGTTTTTAGTTTTCTAAATCGCCTTATAATCTAGTTTTTTTTTTTTTTTGTACTATTCCTCTTGATTGTCCCTTTGGTTGCTATTTTGTTTTGATTTGTAAAAAGAAAAAAAGAGAGAAACTTAAATTTGTATGCCTATGCCTATTTTTATGACTGTCTATTGTTGTTGTTGTTGTTGTTGTTGTCCACTGTTGTCATCACGCTTTGTTAAAATCAGGTCTCTCTTGTGAATGAGTCCCCGAGGTTCAATGGGATTAACCTGTCTAAATAAAGGTTGAATGTATATTCATAATAGGATACAAAATCAATTATGTTACAACTAAATACATTTGTCCCTCATTACTTCGCGGTTCGTTTATCGTGGAGTCGTTTTTTCAAAATAAGATTGGACATGACAGACAACTGGCTGATTGATGGATGATCCGCACGATCGGCATGGCATTTTTATTTAAAATTCATTGTTTTAAATTATTTAGCACCTACTGCACATTTGTGCAGCCCAGAGCTGCATAAAAAGCTTCCACCTGCAGCTGATCAGCTGTTCACCGTGCAGAGCGGAGAAGTGGGCGTGGCCACGAAAGCTTCCAGGTGGCAAAGTGCAGAGGAGGCAGAGAGCTGAAATCATGACATCCTGTGCTCTTTTAGAGCTTTAGAGTTTAGAAACAATGTTTGGAATATTACAAGAGTGTGTGAAGGGTTTAAAACTATTCTTACTTCGCGGTTTTTCACTTATCGTGGGTCTTTGGGGTACAGATCCCCCGTGACAAACGAGGGACTATTGTATTTTTAAAGACTCAAAACATTCATATTTACCTAATGGCAAAAGCATAATCAAATAAAGACAAAAACCTATGTTTCGTAGCTGAACGTTTGGTATGATTAGTGAGGAGGAGTCAATGCAAATACTCGTAGCTTTGGTCTCTTCATATTTGTAGCAGAGCAAAGTTTCATGGAGTCAGTCTGAAGCTGCTGACAGAACCACAGCAATGACTTTAACAATGATCTCACCTGCTTGTTTTGTCAGTTTGCTCGTCCTGTTTTGTACCTTGGCTGGTAAGAATACAAGAATGTTTGTGGG